GCAGTCTTCTAGGGGTCCAGACCAGTGAAGTACCCATGCATTGAAACCAATCTTATAAACTGCAATAATTGGTTTACAGTGCAAAGGTCATTTTTTTAAATGTCACAACTCATAGATAACTCATAGAAAATTAGCATTGATATATTCTGCAGTGCATAGTACAAACGACTCTTAATACATATGTTTTGCATCATGTGTAGCCGTATGTGTTTTAAATTTAGCTGAAGGGTCTGCCAAATGGGCAAGAAAGACTCCAGAAAGAGGGGTATGTCCAGAATCTTAATTGAATATATGGATGACAATGGGAATATTAAGTACATTGGAAATAACAGAAAGTGTGAGGAAAAGGGTGTATATGTGGTATGTATATCTAAGTTGAGGGTAGTGTCTTCCAATCGGAACGGGAGGAGCCTAAATAAAAGATATGTTCAGTACCTTCAGTGCTAGGATTTAAATTAAAATTATCTTTATGTGTGTGTGATTTTCAGTATCAACACGTATTAACTCTTCTGTGATTTTTTTTGGCTGTACCGACCTCGTTCAGACATGTTCTGGCTCACCGTTACCTTGGCAAAAGCGGAAAAACTTTTGGGCAAAGTGTATCTCATCCCACAGATCTTGGGGTAAAAGCAGAATATATCTCATTATACTTAGCTTGAGTGAGTACACACTTGCTTTTTTGATATCTTTTTATTTTTAACCAGGCAATTCGACCTCAAATCGGAGCAATCTTCCGGCAGAAACAGGATTTTAATTATTCTGTGATTCTTTTGGAATGTGACGGTATATAATTGACGGTGCTGAATGTCCCTTACACAAAACGTAAATTGCAATTGATCTCAAATAACAAATATTTATTATGAAACGCCGGAATCACGTATATTTGGTCTTGACCCCCACTCTGTCTTTTGTCGTAATTTAAAGACTGTACACGCTTTCAATCATACTACTGATCACCAACTTTAACAAGTGTGTCTTGTCTTTACACTGTAGTCCGCATGAGTGTAGGCAAGCCTAACTAGGTTTTAATTGTATACAGCGCCACCAGCGGCTGGTCCCAGCTTCATGCGTCCGGAAAATACAAACTTAGATAGTAAATTCCTATCTGAGAGTTATGCTGGACAACATTTTTGACTAATAACCAGAAAAAACTTGTTATTACGTGCTCTGCAGCACATAATTTACTTTATCGATTGATTTCGTGGTTTTGTAGTATATATGAACATGCCGCACACTACTCTACGCATTAGGTATCAGTCGCGACAAAAGTTTAAATAACACTCCTAGAATTGTTCCCATCAAGCAAATCGCGTTTCAGTCCAGGCACTACGAGATGAGAACAGTTTTACTTTTGTTACAAATGTTCGAAACGAAAGTTCTGATCGTATGTTGAACTCACTTAATGTTGGCAGCGGCAGGAAAATTATATAGAAAGTTATTTAATTGTAAATGGAGGGCACAGGGTAGGCTATCAATGTAGTGTAATAGACGCAATCAATGGATAATTTATATAAGGTCATACAATAATAACAACGAAAGACACGTGAAGTAACTTCTGAAAACTGAATATCCTTTGCAACCTTCGTATATGGGGTTGCGGTTATTAATATAGTTGTCTTCACTTTCATGTCTTACCATTGTAACACTCGTAAAATTATTGTTGTTTTTTTAGCGGAGCGGATCGCCAGTCAGTTTACCGGCTTGTATATTCTACTAATGGACTAATGGATTAAAGCGCGTAATTGAGACATAATGGAAATATATACTTTTAAATTGCAGAGATACGAGGACTAGAACATGAAAATCTGTCATTATGGATGAACGTTTTTAAAGACGTCACACAGGACGTGACTGTATATCAGCACTTTTTCCAAAGTATATATCAAGACAGTCTATTTTACCGAGTCAAAGGTGAAGATCCTCCCGACTGGACCCGATTCAAGACATTTAGCAGCACACCAGATCACAGTGACCTTGCACAAGTTCTGAAACTGACCGAGGCCGAGATGTCTGCACATGGTCATCAGATCGAGGATTTCATTCTGCAATGTACTTTTGCATCTGAGAAATGTGGACCGAGGTACTGTAAATGTGTGATTTTACACATTGTAAAATGCACATTGTATACATCGCTATGATTAACACCTTTTAAACATATGTTTTTACATCAATAACACTTGGATTCGAAAAAGCATTGCCCCCGGGTTGTAAAGCACAAAATGTCATTAAATATATAATACGAGTAATGAAGTGCCTTAACATCTTGGTCCTTCTTTTCAAGATATACAAAATTTGATCATAGAAGTGTAGAAATTGTCATTATTATTATGTCTCAATATATAGCCGTTTTTTGTGCTTCACAAAGAAGAGGCCACTGAGCTTCGAATACTACACAACTGTGTTTATACTCGTCTATACATCACACCGTGACACCAGGAACACAACACAGCGACTATGAATGGCGTACATATAAAGCTACACAGAAAACAATCTTTCAGAGGTTTTGATGGTCGAGCACTCATAGTTTCTTCGTTCGAACCATTTAAATTCGTGAGAGTGAAGCATCACCATCAGGCTTAGAAAATTAGCACAGATACTACAGCGACACATGTAATGTTGTCTTATTAATTAGTAATTGACGTGAAAACATTTCCATTGTGAAAATTTACTCAAAGAACAAAAACTAACGCGAATCGCGTTCATATTTTGAGTGTGGCTTACCAGCTGTTTGTTTTTGCTTATTCCTTGTTATATGCTTAGAGATTGTAGAAGTGATGTTAACAGTGTTGATTCTCTGAGGTCATATATCGCTAATGCTAATTTCAAACTTCACCAATCAAATTCTTATTCATAATTGCAGTGACTTTTTAACGTTTCAAGATGATTTCTATGGAAACTGCTTTCAATTTAATACAGGAAGCAATGAAAAACAACAATGGGCAATGCGAACAGGGTCACAATATGGTAAGTAATGAAAAAGTAACCGAATCCAAACTACTTGTACATTCAACCCATAAGTTCAGTCACCTTAACCAAAGAACAATCCTAAGACCCTGGTTCTGACAATTAACCTTAGACTAATTATCAAGCCACTGTGTCGACTAGTCCATTCACTAAATAAAAATCAATTTGTTGTTTATTTCAGGTCTACAACTAACTCTTTTCACCGAACAAGAAGAGTATCTCAGTATATATGGACAGGATTCTGGTGCTAAGGTTACAATCCTTCCACGTGGCATTGTATCTTTTCCAGTTGAGAGGGTATTACTGTGAAACCTGGAACGATCACTTCCATAGCTCTTCACAAGGTGAAAGTCTTGAACAATGAATGACTCTTGTCACTTAGTTTTATTTTGTAAGCAACACCATTATTTGCAAGGGTCCATGGCTGATTAGTTCGTATCTTATGTCTTCTCTGTTGAATGGCCAGTGTCCTCAATATATCATCATTCCTTTTGAGGTCAGTTGGTAATATAAAATGTTTACAGTGAGTCACACGTAGATCATTTTTATATTTGAAACGGGATTAATCTGTTGTTCATAAGTGAAAGCAGCAACACTCACGTTCTTAAATTAGATGTGGAGTGGTGTAGTTGTGGGAGTGCCCTAGTATTTATTTTTTTATGAGTGAAAAAACGTGCCCTCATTGTTCTCTCTGG